AGAGAGAGAGAGAGAGAGAGAGAGAGAGAGAGAGAGAGAGAGAGAGACAGACAGACAGACAGACAGACAGACAGACAGACACACAGACAGACACACAGACAGACACACAGACAGAGAGAAAGAGAGAGGAAAGAGCCTGCTCTTTATCTCTGCCTCCTGGTCATTGCAGTCCAATATTGCACTCAAAGGCAGCAATCAGTCTACCTAAACCTTTTCTGCCGTTCTCGCAATAAGGAATAAGGAAGTGAAATGATATTTTTTGTGCTAATTTTTCATTTTTTGTATTTGGCTAGAATACCGTTATATCACACGTAAAGAACCTTGGGGAGTTTTGGCGTTATCTTTCCCCTCCCTTTTTATTCGCGTTTTTTTTTTTTCGATTTTGCTTTCGCTACTCTTTCTCTTTATCAGTCTATCTGTCTATCCATCTCTTTCTCTTTCTCTCTATCAGTCTATCTATCTATCCATATCTTTCTGTTTCTTTTTCTCTCTACCTATCTACCTATCTCTTTCTCTTTCTTTTTCTCTCTTTTCCTCTCACTCTCTCTCTCTCTCTCTCTCTCTCTCTCTCTCTCTCTCTCTCTCTCTCTCTCTCTCTCTCTCTCTCTCTCTCTCTCTCTCTCTCTTATTCTCTCTTTCTATCTTATTCACTCTCTCTCTTATTCTCTCTCTCTCTTATTCTCTCTCTCTATCGTATTCTCTCTCTCTATCTTAGTCTCTATCTGAAGCTGAAGAGACCGCGGGTTATAAATGAATTGTTAAAGAAAAAAATACCCCTTGTATGCAAGGAATCCACTGGCGGTGCTGGATTTGAACGCAGGTCAGCAAGTTTCCTAGACGAGATCGTAACCAATGCGCCACATGGCATACACACACACGAGAGGAAGAGAGAGAGAGACATACATACATACACATACACACACACACACAGAGAGAGAGAGAGAGAGAGAGAGAGAGGGAGAGAGAGAGAGAGAGAGAGAGAAGAGAGAGAGAGAGAGAGAGAGAGAGAGAGAGAGAGAGAGAGAGAGAGAGAGAGAGAGAGAGAGAGAGAGAGAGAGAGGGAGGGGGGGGGGAGAGAGGGGGGGAGACAGACAGACAAATAGAGACAGAGATAGATACAGACAGATAGATAGAGAGAGGAAAAAAGAGACCAAGGAAAGAAAAAAATAAGAGAGACAAACAGAGACGGAGACAGAATAGGCGAGGCAAAAAAAAAAGGACACAACGAGACATTAAGACTTTTCTCTGCATGCCTTCCCGACCTCGGTACCACTACCGTAACAACGGACGATAAAAACGCACAAAAAAAAAAAAATCTTAAGGTACGGTCACACTGCTCGCGATTTGCCGGGAGGATGGCGGGAAGCTTAACGGGTCAGAGGCAAGAACAAAACATGTTTAAATACGTGTGCCATATCGGTGCCCTCAGATAAAAAAAAAAAAAACAACGCCTGTTTGTTTGTTTGCCTCTGACCCTTCTTGGCATCCGTCTACCCTCTACCCTTGCCAGCAAATCGCGTGCAGTGTGATCGTACCCAGAGGAAGGAGAAAAAAATGTCATCACTCTTGGGTCAGGAGCAAGTCAGGGCATAAAAAGTGGTATTTGTTTTTCCCGTTTCCTCTTAATACAAAATCTCCAAGAGCAACTCTACTACTTGCTAAATACACGTGCGAGTGACATGTACCGAGATTCGTAAATGTGTGGGATAAATACATGTAGAATAAGTATATCATCTCTCCTTCTCTCTTCCCTCTCGGTATGGATATATGTCTGTGTATCTGTCTATATATCTATTTATCTGTCGGCATATCTTTATGTATGTCTGTCTGTTCGTATGTCTATGTCTGTGTTCTGCCTCTGCCTCTATCTATCTCGGTCACTTGTTCTCTCTCTCTCTGGCTACTCTCTCGTGTTCTCGCTTTCTTTTTCCCTTGTTCACTCGTTCGCTTGCTTTAATGGTCATTGTTTTCCTACTGTTTTGTTTTGTCATTAGCTTTCTTTCCTCCCTTCTCCTTCTGCATCCAACCCACCTCCCACTGTCTTCTGTCTGTCTCACCTCCTCTTTATTCATTCGTCGTGTTATTGTTATTCGTCTTTTTGTGTTTGTAGGTGTGTATATCTCTTTCTTTATATATAGATATGTATTTTCCTTTCTCTTTCTCTTTCTTTGTTTTATCTTTCTCTTCATTTTTTCTTCACTCTCTCTCTCTCTCTCTCTTCCTATCTTTCTTTCTCTCTCTCTCTCTCTCTCTCTCTCTCTCTCTCTCTCTCTCTCTCTCTCTCTCTCTCTCTCTCTCTCTCTCTCTCTCTCTCTCTTCTCTCTCTCTCTCTCTCTCTCTCTCTCTCTCTCTCTCTCTCTCTCTCTCTCTCTCTCTCTCTCTCTCTCTCTCTCTCTCTCCTCTCTCTCTCCTCTCTCTCTCCTCTCTCTCTCCTCTCTCTCTCCTCTCTCTCTCCTCTCTCTCTCCTCTCTCTCTCCTCTCTCTCTCCTCTCTCACTCTCCTCTCTCGCTCTCCTCTCTCGCTCTCCTCTCTCGCTCTCCTCTCT